ACCTATTGGAAATATTTTTTTTAAAAGATAAATCTCTGTTTTAGCCAAGTGCTGATAAAACAGGCACCCTCATACGTTCTGAAAAGAGCATAAACAGAAACTATCTTTCTGCAAAACACTTGGCCATAATGTATTAAAAACTTTTCATTCTTTCACCCCACAAATATTTAAATGTCTATTAGGTCCGCAGTCTCCAACTTCTGGCATCAGGGACCGGTTTCGTGGAGGACAATTTTTCCAGACAGGGGATGGTAAGGGGGAACACCGGCACTAGATTCTCATAAGGAGTGCACAACCTAGATCCTTCACATTGCAGTTCATAATAGGGTTTGTGCTCCTATGAGAATCTAATGCCACTGCTGATCTGACATGACAGGAGGCAGACAGAGTTTCATTTGCTACTGGCTCACTTCTTGCTGTGCTGGGGAGGGGGGAGGAGTGGGGGTTGGGGACCCCTGAATTAGGTGCCTAGACCATGATGAGACATAGCCCTTGCCCTCACAAAGCAACATTCTTGAGGGGAAGAGACTTTAATAGGCAATTACTTGCACAATTAACCACGTGCTTATAACTGTGCTAAGTGTTACTAAGAAATATAAGGTGTTCTTTCATAATTTAAAAGTCACATCTGATTTGGGTGGTGGGGGAGGATAGATGTAGTCAGGAAAAAAAATGACATTTAAGCTAAGATCTGAAAAAAGAAGAAAAATTAATTAGGTAAAGCTGGGGGAAGGGGAAACGAGAAAAGATAGGCTAAACATAGGGAACCACATATGCAAAGGCCCTTACATAGCAAGAAGCAAATTCCTGGAAACACAGAAACTGAAAAAAATGCTTTTTTGGCCTGAGTTCAGGGAGAGAATAAGCTGATTTTTTCATACTACAACCAAAATTTTGGTCTTTAGCCTAAGGGTAATGGGAAGCCATTTAAGGATTTCAAGTAGAGAAATAAGATTAGATTTTATTTTTAAAAAGTTGTTTCTGGTGTCAGTATGAGGAATGGGGTGGGTGCAGAGAGATCAAGGAAGCCACTGCAACTATGAGGTGACAGAACAAGGTAATGGCGACCTGAGGTGGCTGTGGAGATGGAGAGAAGCAGGGGAATGCTAGACATGTAGGATGTGAGTCACTGGGTCACAAGACACCATTCCAGAAAGACCATCAGAACGACTCAGAGGTTTTGGTGTAAGGACCTTCACAGATAGTGCTGCTACTGGTGATAATGTTCATACCCTCTGACCCAGCAATTCTCCCTCTAGGAATCTATCCTCAAAAACAACATTTGTTGTAAAGATGTTTATTAGAGGCTGGGCTTTGTGGTTCAGCCTGTAATCCCAGTACTTTGGGAGGGTTCAAGGACAGCCTGGGCAACTTGGTGAGACCTCGTCTCTACATCAAAAATTAGCTGGGCATGGTAGCACGCGCCTGTAGTTCTGCCTACTTGGAAGGCTGAGGCGGAAGGATCGCCAGAGAGCCCAGCAGGTCGACGCTGGGCTGGCCATGAGTGTGCCATTGCATTCCAGCCTGGGTGACAGAGTGAAACTCCAACTCAAAAAAAAAAAAAAAAAAA